ATATTGTATTAGTTCTCTTTTTACAAATTTAAATTTCTAATTTCATTATTCAGTATTTTAGTGGTAGCTTTCTTTGTTGGTATTAATTGTACAGTGTGCCAAAAAAAAGGGGCCATTCTTATTATTATTTGAGCGGATCTTCACGTTCTAGGACTCAATCTTAATGTGTCGAAGGGTGACCTCAAATAGGCTAATTAATAAGTGCAGATGATATTTTAAGTTACAGAATCAGACACAATCTGGAAAATAATGTCCCAATAGTTTGGTCAGGAGAGCTGCTCCAAAGTTTGGACCCCTTAAGGTTAATCTTACTTTTTACATATTTCGCTATGTCTCGAGAACATTTTAAGCGAATTGAAAATTTTTTGCACACATTTATAAAATTTGTTTATCCGCAGATAACTTAGTAAGTATTTGTTATTTAATAATGGTCGAAAAGTTTTGAATTGTGAGGCATACAATTTTTTCCATCATTTTAAAGAAAATAATTTAACTGTGCAAGATACGAAATTTGGGCAAAATCAGTCAAATAGTTCCTGAGAAATTTAATTTCAAAAAAGTCGCATATGTAAAATTTAATTTCTCAAGAACTATTTGACCGATTTTGCTAATTTTTTTTTTTTTTTTTTTGCCATGCGAAATTATGTTCTTTAAAATGATGCAAAAATTTTTATACCTTACAATTCAACATAATCATATTTAATTATCAATAGTTAAAAAAAAATTTTGTTACTTATAATATTTTACTTTATAGACTGAACAATATGTTGGGCTTTATAAAGAAATATCAGCTGTGCCTGCTGTAACCTCTGCTGTTATCTTGCCTAAAGCAAGCAACAAGATACTGTTATTACATAGCACTTGGAGCTCTCAAGATTTAGTTAAGCTTGAAAAGACTAGTTTCTCTCGTGATTATGTGTTTGACAGTGAAAATTTTAAAATTATTTCTACAGGAATACCTTATGATACAAATTCTTTGTAAGTTTTATTTAAGCTTTCCTTTTAAATTTCTTTTAAGTATCTGATAGAGACGCAACTAAATAGAAAGCTTAGTGTAATACTTTTAGTCTGGTTTTTGGATGTTGTCGAAGAGCTTAAAGAAACAAAAATATTATTTTAATGAATTAACATAAGGTAAAGGCATACTTATTTTTTTTAAACAAAATTATTTTATAAATTTTGGAAAAAAATCTCTAAATATATTAAAAAATAAGATGTAAATTGTCATAAAAATAAGTTTAAAAGCTTTATTCTTTATAAAAATGTATTTAAATGAATAAAATAGAAAAAAAATTTGTTCTTAAAAATAGGCTTTTGTTATCATAATTTTTGAAGCCATACATGGAAATTTTTTTGTTAAATCTATCTCTTGGTTGGTTTTTATTTAGTGTTGATTAATATGAGTGTCACTAATTCTTATTATTAATTCATTTATTTACATTTTTAAATTATACTTGTTTTTGTCTTTTTAATCGAAATCAGCTTAAAAAGTTAATATTTTATATTTAATATGGAAAAAAAATTTAAAATAAAGGAAAATACTTCTTCATTTCAGATAATTTAATTGATAAATTCAGTCAGCGTGTGCGTACCAGTTCTTAGAATAAAAATGAGCCGCGATCACTCAGTGGTTTAGGCACTGAACTGTCATTGTAAAGAACTGGGATTCAATCCCAAGGAAGCCCACCCTACTTCATATTGATGGGTTTGTCTGGGAAATAAAAACGACATGTGCACAGTACTGCTTATAATGACACTGTCATACCGTTAGTCGTAAAATTGTGGAGCTTTAACCTCCATGACTCCCCTGGCCTACGATGGGCTGTTTTTAGGATGCTTTACTTTTAAGATATAAATATTTAGAAAGTCATTTTAGAGTGTATAGTCTTAGAAATTTATTATCAAATATGTTTAAATCTTTGAAATTTTCAAAAGTTGTTTCTTTAATTCCTCAGTAATTGCATTTTTTTAAAACATATTTGAATATTTATTTTTTTTCTGCGAAAATCCAGAAATTTTTTTAGGCATTTCAACAGTTTTTTTTTTAATGATTAGAATTTTATTACTGTTTTTTTTTTAATAATAATCAACTATTACATGCTTTAGTAATGTCTTTATAATTTTTTTAGTATGTAAATTTCTGGTTTATTATTATTACTTTTAATTTTTGGGTACTTCTCTGCATTGTTTAAGAACCACTGCTATCCCTATTATGAACTCAATTAAAAAGTCAAATGTTCAATCATTATCAATCAGAAATAATACTTTGCTCATATTATTTTCAAGCAGAATATTATTTATCTTTATAATTGTATTTAATTAAATATATTATTTAGGGTGCATCAGTCATTTAGTAAATCAGGAGAGAAGCAGGCTATTATAAGGGGAAAAAAGTCTTTAAAGAATTCTAATGAATGTTATGATTTGGAGGTAAGTTTATCTGTATTTATGAATATTTTAAGCCATTGTTTATTGCTAGAAATTTGCTTTATATTCAATCATGTTAAGGTTCTTATTTTAGCTATATAGCAAAATAACTTTTTGGTAGATATACCTTGTATATATAGCACATTTATTTGACATAAAGTTCTAACCTTTGCTTCATCTCAATCATTTGAGCAATAATAGGTATAAGATTGATTGATTGATAGATGAATATAACGCATTTGTTATACTTGATAAATAAATAAAAAATTTCATAGATTTTTTTTTTTAAAATTTAATCATTTTTTAAAAAATTATCAAATTTATTTAAACGAATTTAAGAATCTGAAAAGTGTTTAAATAGCCTAATTTTTGAAAATTGTTCTTTACAAATTACACTCTTTTTAAATTTTGGATAAAAAATCATATAATAATATGTAATATATTATATATAACGTGCAACATTAAACATCTACAAGGAAATCAAAACCGCATACTGACTTTCGCACCATGTTTTTTGCAGATTTTGGGCTGAAATTTATGGGGTTTTTTGTCACGGCTTTTACCTTTACGCTTTTTAATGGTCTGGGGGGATGGACCTGATACTAAACTCCTGATATCTAAAAAAAAAAAAATTGCATTGGATGTCAAACAAAGTGCTGTTCCTGTTGCTAAACAAAATGTTGCATCGAATGTCAAACTCCTGATGTAAATTCATTTATTTATTTTTAAGATTTTTTTTTAAATAAGAATTAAATTATTTTATGAAAAAAACTATCAAATTCATTTTAAAAGAAAATAAAAATCTAAATAGGTGTAAAATGCACTGATTGTTAGTGATTTTCTCAGAGATATGTGGTTTATTGATTAAATATCTACTTTCACGCATGGGTTTTGCAGGTATGGGCTTGAAATTTAAGTTTGTTGACATTTTGCTTTTATGTTTTTTCATGGTTTTGGGTTTCATTTTATGTCTGCTGTAGAATTGCAATGATTAGGAGACATGTTCTTTTTCACTATGAAACTTTAAATTACTATACTATTTAATATCTTTTTTAGCTTATTGCATGCTTTGTAACTTTAAGAAAAAAAATTTAAGTAAACTATGACATTTCCATTAATTTTCTTCACAATTTATTTCTTTACACTAACTGTTTACAATCTTTTCTCAGATATGGAATGAGAGTAAAAAAGTAAACACATTTGAGCTAACTGACAGAGATGACCATGGAAAAATCAACACCAATGGTAAATTAATTATTACTATTTTTTTTTTAAATGTTCCGTTGAAAAATAATTCAATTTATTACGTAGTGTTTTCAGTGCAAATATTTTGTGATGTTTTTACCTGATGTTTTTCTCATCATTTTAATGAAATTGTTCTTTATATTAAGTATGTTTAGCTCTCACAATAAGTGTTTAGAACTTGTTTAACAATGTTTGTTATTATCCCAGATATTGAAATATTGCGATAAAAATTTATCCCCTGATCTTTTTACTTATTTAGATTAAAGACAAGCTAGTATGATTAAGCTTACGTGCAAGTTCATGGGAAAATTTCCTGCTCAATGCACTACTATCTATTTTCATATTTTTATTAGTTTATTTTGAAATATATGTTTTTTAAACAGGGATGGGAATGCGCAAAATGATGAAAATGGAGCAAATGCTTAAAGTGTTTAAAAAAATATTGGTTTTGTTCTAAGAAAATGGTTTTATTTAAAAGAAAAATTCCTGATATTATGCTGTTTTAAATCTATTGTGATGCTCCAATTATATCTATTACTTTCGATATTTGTTAGTAGTTTTTATTTTCCATTTTTAACATTAACTGATTATTGGAGTTTTGTATAAAAATATTTATCTCTACTTTCCCTTATCATTCTTCATTGACTTAACCCTGCAAAAGCAGAAGACTTCCTATTTCTTTATAAATCCCATATTTTTATAAAATGCTTAAAAGTATCCAATCTTTCATTTAAATCCTATATATTTAAAAAAATTTATCTATTTTTTTTAAAAATTATTTTATACGATTGCCAGTTTTACAATTATTCAATAGCAAAACAAAAAATTGAACAACTTTGTCAATTGTGCAGCATTGTTACCTCTGATTAGGCTTGAAAATTGTGTTGATAACTGACTGATGAGGGGCATATCCAAATGGTATAGATATTCTTAAAGAAACTGAAAATGTTGCCTTTATTAAATGCTTATAGTTTTTGGAAATTGTGGAGTATCCTGTTATAGCAAAGCTTATAATGTAGGCAGTTCTGTATTAAAAATGGATTCATTAAAAAAAAAGTAATGTTGTTTTAAATCTGTTGTGGTATTCCAATTATTTTTAATACTTTCCCTGCTTGTTATTAATTTTTGTTTTCTATTTTTAACATTTGTACTAATTGACTAAGGATCAAAGTTGGTTTCTTAACCAATTCAGGGTTTTGAATAGACATATTTATCTCTACTTTCTCTTATCACGTTACAGTATACTTCACCCGGCATTATACTCTCCCTTTACTTTCCTATATCTTATAGTTCCCATATTTTTATGAAATGTTAGAAAAGTATCCAATCTTTAATTTAAATCCTATATACAGTGAATTCGCGATAACTCGAATCTGATAGGACTGACGAAAAACTTCGACATATCGGAAGTTCGACTTACCGTTAGTTTCGGTTTTGGACTTTNATTAATTGTCACCTTATTGTAATTATTATTTTAAATTAATATTGCCTTTATTACTTAATATTGTTTTTATGATAATTTAGAACTATACAACTTTGCAAAGTTGTTTTTTATTTTTAGTTTCACTTTGTATAAATGTGGGTTTATTATTTTTTAAATGGTTTTTTTTATTTTTTTTTATTTATTTTATTTTTATTTATTTACAGCTTTTGGTTTTTTGGCTTGGAGTTCTGATGAAAATTTTATCTTATATACAGCGGAAGCTAAGCAACCAAAGAGCTCATCTTATTTTAAAATTCTTAACAAAACTACTGTAGAAGATGATACAAAAGAAAACAGAGTAAGATTTCAGACTTTACCTTACCTTTACTTTTCACAGCTCAAATAAAATATTATTTGTTCATTTTTTGCATAGATTTAGGTGATAAAGAAGAGTTGCATTTCTATAAATAAATATACTGTTTGAATGAAAATTAATTGTTCTATTTTTTATCCTAAAAAATAAGATTAATTTATCGTGCTTGCATATCTCATAGTTATATTTTTACGAAAAGTGACTAACATTTATATGCAAAAAGATAGCAAATGAAAGTCATGAAATATTATTATAAAGCAAAATATGCATGAAAATATTAAGAAAAGAAATAAAGCAACATAATTGAGTTTTTTTTTTCTTTTCTTTTAAAGATATTTTACATAAAAATAAATCAGATGGTTTTCATCCTCCTCTATTTATAATATGTACATAAAATTTCAGTTGGTTTAAAAAACGAAAAGTTAGAGTAAATTCTATGCTTTGAAATTAAAAGAACTAGTCACTTGGGGCAATCAACTTATCTACCATTTAAATCTATCTTCTGGTCAGAGCTTTTAGACAATATTGCTTGAGATTCATATACTGTGGTTCAAATG